AGGACCTTTCAGGTATCGGTAACTGGTATAGCCCGAACTGAAACTATGTTTTAGTTTCAAAGAATTAATTCCAGGGGGCGCTGTACACATAATTTACAGAAATCTACAATTATTGGTGGAAAGAGTGGGAGTTGCGGGAGGAGTGTCGGAGTGTCATTTGTCATTGGTCATTGGCATCCATTACCAGTATTTATTGTGAATAATATCATAATATTATCAATAATTACTGTTTTATTGTTTGTATTTGGGAGTGTCCTGGATCCTGGATGAATAAATAGTAAGTATTTTCTAAATTATTGTTTATTTTGTTGTCAACTTGGTCTTGTTCAATTGTGTTTTTAATTTTCAATTTGTTTACTTGATCTTGCTGACAATTGTGAGCTTATTTTAAATTTGTGTTGTGATTTTTTGTTTAAAAGTTGAAGTATGCCGTATTGTTGGGTGCCGTATTGTTGGTTGCCGAATTGTTTTGTAAACAATGTGAGACGGCATCATTTTCCCAAACCCGATCCTAATAATGATTTATTTCAAATTTGGACATTGGCTGTTTGCAGTTCATTTTTCAATAATAAAATGGCACAACAAATTCGTAAAAACTATTTAGTATGTGATAAACATTTTGAAGACAAATTTAAAGTCCCTGAAACTCACAGAGGTCTAATTGTTGAAGCATATCCAACATTATTCCTCTCAGAATCGGAAGTTCTGTGTCTTGATCATGTACCAGATCAACTTCTTTACCTTCGAATGATATGTAGTTCGAACATGTTGATCAAAACAATTTAGTTACATATTCTAAGGCTTCAACTAGTCGTGAAGGTTTGAAACAATCTTCTGCCATATTGTTGCATGTAAATTATTCCTAATGTCAAATGTTCTTTGAGCTGGTTAGTATAGTATGGTTAATTTTGTTTTTATTACTCTTAGAAATGGTATCATTTTCATGTTAATAGAAAAAAATAAAAAAAAAAAAAAAACAAAAAAACATATATTGATTTAATTCAGATTGTTACTTATATTGTTTTTTATTTTGTTCTAGTACGAACTTTCTTCAAACTGTTTGAAGTGGAAGAATTGCATTGTAGAAGCCAAAACAGCCTAATCAGGGAAGTAATAGTCACTTTACCTTTTTGTATTCATGCCTCACTTTCCCTGTTGCCTAAGACATTTCATTTTTATATTGATGTAATTCATATTGTTACTTATACTGTTTTTTTATTTTGTTCTAGTACGGACTTGTTTCAAACCGTTTAGAGTGGCAGTATTGCATTGTGGAAGACAAAAGAGCCTAGTCACTTTCGGTGCTCCCTAACAGATTTGAAGGGTTCAGGAAAAAAGGGACCAAGTCACAACAACCAAAATGGGAAGCACATTTAAATTTAGACTGACTAAATACAAACTTTTGATACTTTAAAGTAATTGATTACAAAAAGATGTTACTTTGTATATATGATGCCTGATTATATTGTAGTTTACCACTTAATTTACCAGACAGTTGTAATTTTTTATTCTAAATACTGAAAGTGCCAAACAAACAGTAGGAAAAGATGCTAAGTCCTTGGACATAATTTTAAAATGCACTGTTTTGAATTTGATAATTTGGCTTATTACATGGAAACATACTGGTATTTTACAAAATAGGGCGGACCAGTTCAATTTTGATAAAAATGTGGCTTAGCCGCTTTTTTCTTCCTGTACCCTCCTTGATTTATAAGTTTATTTTTTGTTCTAGATAAAACTCTTTAACCTCGGTGGACAATAACTTCTTTCCAGCTAATTAACACGCTACATTTATTTATTCTATTTGTATGTTTTTTTTTTGTTTTAATAAATAAATTTTGTTTATCATGCTTTTTCATTTTTTGTACTAATAAATAATAAAATATGGCAACTTGTAGTCAAAAGTTTATACTACTCATTTTTTGCTTTGTTGTAACAAATATAATTTTATTGCTACAATAAACGTAAAAAAGGAGTTAGTATGAAAAAATCTTAATTTGACTACCACTTTTAAACTAAATATTGAATAACAATTTTGAATGTTCCCGCGTTTTGTATTAACTAAAGTGACCGCGAGATGGCGCAACTTTTGTCCAAATAGTTCAAAGAACCACCCAGTGGCTACAATACTGTCTCGAATTTTAACATTGCCGTTTCCATTTTAAAAGTAAGTGATCTGTGCGACCTTTATAAAACCCATGTTGGCGAGAAAAATATTTATATGAATGGAAAATACCTCATCAGCCATAGATTAGAATAATTTAGGTAGAGTGGAAATGTAAGTGATCTCTCTATATAGTTTTTGATGTCAGATTTGTCACCCTTCTTATTTTTTCCTTTGTCAGCAATATATTTTAATAGGAAAATAAAACCTCTGGCTCTTGGACTATAATTTTATAACGTTATACTATCATTACTTTTTGTTAGATAAAAACAAAATTAAAAATGACTAGCCGAAACGATTATGTAATACAAAATTTGATAATGACCAATTTTAGCAGAAGTTTTAAGCATAAAAAGCAATCGGTATTCCATAAAGAGTTCAAGTTCCTTTCTTCACCTTTGTATAAGTCATTGCCATTCATTTTGTGTAATCGTTTTTTTGCCGGTGCGTAACTATTTAGAATAAAAGTAGATTAAAGTTAACAGTGGCGCATCCAGAGTTTAAGTTTAAGTTTGGGGGTAGTGGTAATAAAGTTTAAGTCTGGGGGGTAGCGGTAATATTTAAGACTTTATTTTTGATAATGGTACGCTTTAGTACCTATAAAATATTAGGTTTAAGAATTCTTGGGGATTCATTACCACCCCTTATATGCGCCCCTGAAGTTCAATATAATATAATTCCTGTCACGTGACGCTGCCTTCGAGTTGACTGAATTAGTTTTGATAACAATAAACTATGAAAAAGTTATAAAAGTAATATCGAGGGGATGCGCAGGGCTTTTTTCACAGGGAAGGATCCTCCCCATAGGAGACCCCCTTGTAGAAGATTCCCAGTACCAGCTCCAGCTCAGGATCTCCATAGTTTAAATTAAAAGTCTTTTTTTGTATTTTAAAACGCAGTTTTAATGGTTAGGCAAGAGTTGTGACATGTGTCCCAAATATTAACGGAGTTGGTAAGTTTCTTAATATTACATTGAGTCCATATTTGTATGTGTCAAGCTGTGACCTATTTTGTATCCTTATTTTAATTATAATATTATATTTGTTTTGAGAAAACATTGTGTTTCCTTCAGCCCTTTTACAGAGACGATTGAGGTGCGAATTTATATATTTTGCTTGATAACCCCTGGGACACAGATAGTACCATAATTATTTAAAGCACGTAAAACGTGATCTTTTTTAATAAAACACGCTTAACTTGACAATATTATAAGCTCCTTTAAATTTATTGCGAAATTGGCCCTATAACAGGCGCAGATAAATGTTTATTTAACATACGTATAAATACGTATAAATTAGAACTCCAAATAGGTACACCAATATGTCGTCCATTTCATGAAATGGATCCGCTTGTACCTATTAGGTTCTTTCGTTCGCTGTTGGTGCAGTGTCCACCAGTGTAAATTACATCAGTTACCAGTGCCGGTTTAAGGTACTTTTGCGCCAGGTTCTACTTGTAATCGCCGCCCTATCTATTAATAATTTATACATCTTAGATTACTGAATTTATATATTATTTAAAAAAAAACAAAATTACAAAATTCAAAAGTATTATATTTATAACGTCATAACATCAATAAACCATAATTATTATAATGGTCAGAAACAGCTATAAAACTACTACGCAAATACAAATAATAAAATAAAACAAACAAAAATAATAAAATAAAACTAACAAAAATGTCAAAAATAAGATCAAAGAAAAATGGAATGAAAACAAAATACCAGTCTAAAACATAAGTTTACATTCTTGTTTTCTATATAAGTACTATCACTAATACATTAAATAACTGTTGAAACTAAGTAAAAATAAACTATAAAAATAATAAACAAATAACGAAAAATAATATTGCTAATGCCCATATTCAAAAATATTGACATGTTATGTTTAATACAAAATTTTGACAATCATTCAATTGACACGTTTCACGCTGCGCAGTTCATTAGCTACCACGAAGATAGAAAAGTTGGGTGTCTCGTCGAAATGAACCTACTCACGAAGATTCATAAAAATGGGTGGTGTACTGTGGATTAACATGTTAGAATGTAAGTATAAAAATACAACAGGGGAGCTTTATTTACTTTTAGTACATATCTGAATTTATTGATAATACTGCTAAAGAATTCAACTTTTCGTGTGCAATTGAATTGCGAAGATACGTTTTCACCCATTTTAGAGTAGAAAATGTACGCTCCCCACTGGCATTCGTTACCATTCTAAAAAAAAAAAAATATCGGAGGCATACATTTAAATTTGGAAATGAAGTTTATTTTTATGTAACAATTTTACTAAATCTTTGGGAGATTCATTTAGGAATATTTTGAAATGAATGCATTCTTGAGGAAAATGCTCGTTTAGGTCTTCCGTATATGTCTCTTTTAATTTTTGTGCATTTAATACTATAGCTTCGTCACTTAATTTTTTCTATATTAAACAAAAATTCGAAAAGACCTGAACATGTTTTGTACACTTCGGATCTACGAATAATTTCTGTTTAAAGATTGTCAAGGATTGGAAGGTAAATCTGCGATCTCATTTTCTCTCTAGGATCCAAAATAACTTCTGTATTTGGTTCCCCAAAAAGCCTCTTTCTTTTAGTGCTTCGCCGTTCTGTGTGTTTTTCGTTGCCAGTTAAAGCTATTCCTTTGGCTTCATATTGATCAAACTCATTTTTTAAATATTGAAAGTATTGGGCCAATAAAGATAAAAGGTTATATGTGGTACTTATATCCATATTCTCTTGTTTACATCATTAGTTCGGTGTAAAATATCCAACCAAAATGTGAAAAGAATGCCATTTTCAAGAAGATCTAATGTCTCGGCAAAAGAAGCCGCTTCAACTCTCACAACACTTTTCTTCTCTATTTTGAGATAATTGCTCTATTTTTATTGATGCTAGGGCTTCAATGGCATCAAATCGTGATAACCATCGCGTAGTATTAACTCTATTAGTTAAAAGTTTTTCGTTTTCTGAAACTTTTATAAACTGAGATAACAAGTTCCATTTGTATGAAGATGCCGTAAAAAAGGTGTAAATTTCTTGTACCATCATAAAGAACGCCGTAGATTCCAAACAGCAGTCTGCTGCATTTTGTACAACTAAATTTAGCGAATGTGCTAAATTATTTCGTGCCTTAATACGAGTCTGTAACTCAGAGTATTTTCCGCTCATGTTGCTCGCATTATCGTATGACTGGCCCCTACAGTCTTTTAAAGGTATTTCCATTGATTTCAAAATATTCAGGACGGTATCTTCGAGTTCTTTCGCACCATGTCTAACGTTTTCTTGAAACCCCACAAACCGCTCAACTAGTAATACATTACTATCACAAAATCGCAATATAATTGTAAGCTGGTCATGGTGGGTTATATCTGGCGTAGAATCCAAGCTTACTGAATAATACTTATTAACTTTAATTTGTTTCACTATTTTCTTTAAAACTTCATTTGATATAATCCCTACAATCTCATCGCAAATATCTTTTGATAAATAAGAAACAGTGTCCTTTCCACGATTTGCAAGTCTTCTTATATGATATTTTAAAAAAGGATCATATTCAGACAAAAGTTCAATCGCACCCAAATAATTGCCTCTATGATCTTCGCCTATCTTTTCAATACTATCTCTAAATGCTAACTCTCGTGTTGCTAAAAATTTTATAACGCTAACAATTTTTTTTAATACGTTAATCCAATACTCCTTTGCTACGTTACATTATTTTTCAAGTTTATCAATTCATTCAGTAGATTGTTTAAATGCTCGGATGATCGTTCATGTTCATCAAACCTTTCTTTATTCCTATTCCAGGATGAAAAACCTCTTTTAAACTGGTTGAATGACCCACCAAATAACATACAATAAAGGCAGTACACATTACCTGTGCTTTTAGAATATATTGCCCAATCTCGACGTAAAATTTCTCCATTCTCTAACTTTCTGTAGAACATTTGTTTATTTGGCCACCTGTTTTGTCCTTTAAATGGCCTCTTGGATTTGGAAAAATTACTTTGTTCTAAATCCTGACCTTTCCAAGACTCTAAAATTATTTCAATATCTCGACCAGTGTTCCATAGGGCTGGATCTTTAAAATCTGGTAAAATTATTTCTTACTAGTGCTCTGCCTGCGCATCGCCCTATTACGATTTGCCGCCCGGTACTAAAGTCCCAAATAGCACCCATGTAAAACCGGCACTGTCAGTTACACCACCTTATTTACCCTAGTTTACTTCCTCCTTATTCCTTATACACGTGTCGAGTGTAATTCACGCCTGTTAAATAGCTGGTGGAGAAAATATCCACCAGTGAACACCACATCACCGACAGGAAGGTAGAGTGGGTTTTACACCTGGATAGCTATTCACTAAGTCATGGGAGCGCCCCCATGGGAGTGCTCCCATATATTTTGCTCTCTTACTCTTAGGTGGGTATATCGTGCTTACTCACTTTTAGCCCAGGTACATGCGTAGTAAGGTCAGATTTTATACTATGGGAGGGAGAATTGCGGGCTTGCCAGATTAGGTCCGTATTTATCACAAAGCAAATTTGAATTACTAAGGGCTGATTCCACCGTTGAGTTAAACGGAGATTAAAATGACATTGTTAATGTAAAAATGTCATTTTAAACTTCGTTTAACACAACGCTGGATCGATCCTTAAATAGTAGATCAAAGTTATTCTGTCGACTTGGCAACGTTGGCATGGGAGTATGGGAGCATGGGAGTGTGGGAGTGCTCCCATGAGTTAGAGAATAGGTATCCAGGCCAAACGAAATGCATGATGTGCGTTTTTGTAGTTCATTCCTACACCAGTGGGACAAACGAAAGAACCTATTGTATGCAAGTAGGTATTGTTATACTGCCACTACACTCGCCTAGGTTTTTCTACGATAAATGAAAAGAGTTGGGGACATTTTTTTAGCACAGTCATATGTGGGTTCATGAGGAGCATATTCCAAAATTATTTTAAAGTATACAGGGTGACCCAAAAAAGTACCTACATATCAAAGTTATATTTTTTATATTTTTAGATACTATAGACCAAATAAGTTAGTGTTACATTTCCTATTCCTAAAACTGGCCGTTTCTGAGAAGTTTTGAGAAATTTAAAATTACAGACCATAATATAAATATTTTTACACCCTGTAACATGTAACAAGCTGCTCGTAATTAAATTTACTGCTTAGCCGAAAGGTTAAAGTTAACTACCACATAAAAGATTTATTTCAATATTATACAGAGTCGTAAAAAAATTGCCTCAAAATTACGACACACATTTTATTAAATAACTTCTTCAAGTTAAATAGAACACCCCGTATATAGTAGCTTATTTTTATGCAGAATTAGATTCCCTTTAAAACTATATTAGGATTCCTTATATCTATCTCTTCTACTTTTTACGCAAAAAGCGTTTTTATATTTTACTTATAAATAATTTCTTTGTCTTAAAAATGGAACACACTGTACTGCAATGAAAAGCCTAAAAAGCATTTTTAAAATTTTTTTATTGTAACGATTGTTTAATTTATTTATAGTTTATTTATTTAAAACACTTTATAATTTATTTATAACGTACTAATTAATTTATATAATACTTAGGCACTATTACAACTTTATTTATTACAATTTGTCTTTACTATCCAACACTTAATTTGAAACTTAACGTCTGTCGACAAGTCGTGCTATTTATATAGAAATGTAACACTCTCAAAAGAAATGGGTTGGCTTGCGCGACATTGTCCCCTCCTTAAGAAATAGTTCCTCTTGGAACTACAACTGAATGATTGTATCTGCAACTGGACCAACTTTTACAATTTCCATTCATTATTGAAATGACAAGGGATGGTTTTTGCTGAAACCTGGACACTAGGCGAATGGCTGCAGACCAGTAGTTGGACCTCAGAATCTTGGAAGATTATTTCCAGCATGTTTCTAATGATCCTCCCATTTAGCTGGTTGCTCTGTATCTTGGGCATTGCTATTTTTTATACATTGGATTCCAGTACGTGCTCGTTCAGACTAAGTAATGCTTCCCATATATCATGATAGGTGGATCGATCTTTGAAGGTATTTTTTTACCAAATAGAGAAGATAACGTAATCCATCTTGAAGTTGCAGTGCTTTTCCAGGGGCTGGTAACTGATCTTGAATTTCTGGCAATCGACCAAACTTCCTCCGGAACATAGATGCCAGACCTCGAGCGTCGTTGATGTTGACGGAAGTGCTATGGACCAGTGAGTAGACTTTAGGAACCGTGAGTAGATCTCGTTGCTCGGCTGTAACATTATATTTTGCTTTTTCGGTACCTCCATATACACCCATAAATTCTTTAAAGACAAGGTCAGTTCATTCTTGGAGCTGGTTAATCTTCACCGACTATATTCTCCCCAAGTCGGCAAACTCGAAATCACCAGACATTCTTATCTCATGTATTTATTACCATTATCGGTCATGGGGAATGGTCCAGCAATATCAAAGGCAATCCTCTCAAATGGGTTACCGACGTTGTACTGCTTTATGGGGGCCTTTCTTTTTCGTTGGGGTCCATTACTCACAGCACAGGTGGTACATTTCTTACATCAGTCCTTATACATACAAATCCCCGGGGCCGGATGGTATATACCCAATTCTGCTCCAGAAGGGAAAATATGTGTTAATGCCACATTTATGCAATATCTTCAGAGCATGTATTGCCTGGAGATATATCCCAGCAATATGGCCAAAGGCGAAAGTAGTCTACCTTGCCAAAGTAGATAGGGTCACAGACCAAACGCCAAAGTCATATTGCTTTCTACTTAAAACTCTAGAAAGATTGATAGATAGGTATATCAGGGACGAGATACTAAAAATAAATCCGCTCCATCTTAACCAATATGCATACCAGCTAGGAAAGTCAACTGACCTAACGCTGGACGATCTAAACAGGCTGTTTTCAAAGTCAATAGATGACAAAGAAATCGCAATAGCCACTTTCTTAGATATCAAAGGAGCTTTCAACAATGCCTCAACCAGGTCAATAACCAAGGCTCTAGAAAAGAGAAACGTCCCAGTAACAATATGCCAATGGATCACTGCCTGTCTAGAGAACAGGATTATTTTATCCACTCTAGGAAAGGCAACCATACAGGAAAAAGTTACAAGGGGCTGCCCACAAGGAGGAATATTATCTCCAATGCTGTGGTCAGTTCTTGTGGACGACTTACTCAAAATATTATCCAAAAAAGGCTACCAGTACCTAGGATACGCAGACGACCAAGCAATTATCGTCAGGGGGTGATTCGCAGGTACAGTTTTGGAGCGATCTTAAACAGCTCTAAACATAGTGAACAACTGGTGCAAAAAGGAACAATTGTCCATTAACGCACAAAAAACAACAGTTGTACTATTTACAAAAAAACGGGTACTTACAGGTTTAAGACCACTAGTACTAAACAACACAGTTATCCCATTCGTCACAGAAGCCAAATACCTCGGAGTCACATTTGACCAAAGGCTGACGTGGAATCAACATCTCAAAAAACTCACACATAAAGCTACAATAGCTCTCGTAAGCTGTAGAAGAATATGTGCAAAAAACTGGGGTCTAAACCCCAAAATAACCATATGGTTATACACAAGGGTAATAAGACCCATGATAACCTATGGCGCAGTGGCGTGGGTAACCAAAACTGCACAGGCAAGTGTAATAGGCCAACTCACTAGCATTCAGCGGCTTGCCTGTCTAAGTGCTACTGGGGCCATGCACACCACGCCGACCGCAGCAATGGAGATATTACTAAATCTCACGCCACTGCACATCTTCATACAAGGAGAAACCAGGTCAGCTATTCACAGGCTAATGCAGAGACAAAACCCAATATGCCAACTACATAGCGTCGACCACACAAGGCTATATCAGCAAGTAAAAAGGGATAATATTCTAGCTATGCCTACTGATACAGCCATACCCACATACAAATTTGAAAGAAATTTTCAAATTCAAATACCAGGCCGAGAATCCTGGAAACAGGGACCTCCCGTACAGGCTGAACTCGTCTGGTACACAGACGGTTCAAAAACCAAGGAAGGTGCCGGTGCTGGAATCTATGGACCCAAGTAGAAATCAACGATTTCGCTGAGTTTAGGAAAATATGCAACAGTGTTCCAGGCTGAGCTAATAGCCATACAATACTGTGCAAGAGAAATATTAAATCAGCAAGTACCAGGCAAAACTAGCAGCTCTAAAGGCAATTCTCTCACCAGAAATCAAATCAAGACTGGTGAAAGACTGTCTAGAAGACCTGACAGAGCTAAGTAGTCAAAATAAGGTGACCTTAGCCTGGGTTCCAGGCCATGAGGGATATCAGGGCAACGAAAAGGCCGACGAATTAGCCCGAGAAGGCTCAGATAAGGCCATGACAGGCCCCGAACCCATCTGTGGAGTTGCTAAGGCATTGTGCAAGGCATCCATTAAACAATGGATGCAAAAAGAGTCTCAGGAATGGTGGAACAACTATCCAAGACTGAGACAGGCCAAACAGTTCATCAAGGAACCATCGGCCAAGTTCACGAAAGACCTACTGGATCAAAAGCGTCAAATAACAGTAGGCCTTCTTGCTGGACACTGTCGCCTCAAAAGGCATATGAGTGTTATAAATCCAGCAGAAGAAGCAACTTTGTGCAGGTTCTGTGAAGAAGAAGAGGAAACATCATTCCACGTCCTGTGCCAATGCGAAGGCCTGGCTGGAATGAGGTTTCTAACATTGGGCGAAGAAAAGCCAATTGCAAGTAACTATATGCGGGAGCCACTGTCAAAGCTACTGAGTCTAATAAAAAAGACCAGACTAGACGACATACTCTAAAACAAACGGAGTCCCACAATAGATCTGAAAACGTCGCGGTGGACAAGGACAAATAACGTCCAACTCCTAATCTAATCTAATCTACATCAGCCCTTTACATCATCGGAACTG